CCCATTAGGCACAGAAGGCACAGTGCCCAGAGCCCACAAGACTTTTAGGGGTCCGTGGAAATGTACTAGTTTAAAATCAGAAGGAAACAAATGAACTTTTAGATCAAAGATAATGTTCTGATATAGAATATTATCTTTGTACCAATGCAATTGTACCATATAATTTTTAGTATTTTTTTTTTAATAGAGGAAGAGGTCCATAAAGGCAAAAGCGAGTAGGACTATGAAAATCATAATGTGGCCCTTTATGATAGCCTCATGAGGATAGCCAGAAGGTTTGGTAGAGCCTAACGAGATCCCTGATTGGCATTAAATGTGAAAAAGTTGAAGTTTCAAAAAAACTGATCTTATACCAAAACTTTCTCCTTTTCCTTTAAATGGCCAGTATCTCTTCCAGAACAAACTAGACTTAAAAATACTATATTAAATCAAAATATGAAGAATAAAATATTTGTGTTTATGTCTCTGGTTACTCTTGTGGTAGATATAATATGTGAGTAGGTCTAGAAGATTCTTTTATTGACCTGATTCTAGTTCTTGAACAAAGGTTCTGAGGATAATAGTTTCTGATATTATACATAAATCAAGAGAAAATTTCTAGAAACGAGTTTAAACTCCAACATCTTCCTGAATTTGGTGCACCTTTAACATGGCCCATGATAATCAGTTTGCAAAAAAAACCTGAGTTGTTGCCACAGCTATATCCCCATCAGTTAGCCCTGCTGCCTTTGGCTTTGCTGACTGGTGTTGGTGTGGCCATGGGCCCTCTCCATCCTAGGTGCTTCTCCCTTTCCCACAAAATTGGTTCTAATACTCTTGTAGAGAGAGGGTTCATTTTGTCTCAGTCTATGACGGTATAGAAAAACATCTGTTCAAAACTGCTGAGAGCTTTGGTTGTTCATGGCTCATTTATTTTTATTTTTGGCTTTACTATCACTGATTTTTTTCCCCCTTTCATCTTCTTAAAGGAAATAGTTTGCTCTGCAGATTAAAAAGTGGTTCATTTGCCTATCTGTTCATCCATCTATCCACCCATCCATCCTTCTTTCAAACCAGAAGCAGATTACTTTGTAAAATTTTGAGTGTAGTCCTTTCAACTTCAATATGAAAAAAAAAAAGGCAAAAAACCAAGCCCAAAGCTATTTACTAATTTGCTTGAGTTCACACAGGCAGTTAGAAGTGGGGTACAGGACAGAGCCAAGTCTCCTGACCCCCAGTTTCGTCCCATTTTGTGTTGCTTCTTTCCAAAGGGGTACTAGCAGGTCTGGAGTGAGGAAGTCAGAATCAGGAGGAAGAGGAAGAAGAGAGCTTAGTTAGCACTTGGAAAAGAACAGCGAGGATCGCTGACAAAGAGACTGCGCCTGCAGACTGTTCGAGAGCCATAATTCACCAGGCACCAGATGAATCAGGCCTCCTCGGGCACCCTTGGCTCTAAATACTCTTGTCCCGCCAGCCAGAGGCCCAGAAGACAGTAGGCATCCGTGGAAAAGTTTCCCCCAGCAAGCCCAGCACAGCACTTGGAGGCTTCTGCCAAAGCAAGTCATGCGAGAGTCAGACAGTATTTTGCCTGAAAGGGCCCAGAAGCTCTTCGCCCTGAGACATGGGCCTAATGGCCTCCTGATGTCCCAACTGAGGACGAGCGGCACATCAAACAGGGCGGCATTTAGGGAGGAGGTTAAGCCTCCCGTTAAACTAGAACATTCGCAGTAAGAAACAAAAGCACAAGACTTGCTGCACAGGCAAAACTGGGGGCTTAGCTTTCCACTCAACACAGTCCAGGAACAAATACACACTTTCCAGACCAACGGGCGTCAGCAGTAAGCCCTTACTATCCAGAGCAGCTAACAGTGCAGTGGCTTGAGAATGACTCCCCTTCTATGGGGCCCATCCCCTAGTCAAGGAAAAGGTGAAATGCTACAAAAGAGCACAAAAAAGAGGCCTATTTTGTCCTTCACTGCAACTGTTACAGCAAAAGCTTACACAGTGTGGTCTTTGTCGGCCCCTGTCCTAAGAGCTTTGCATGTATGAACTCACCTAATCATCTGAGTGTCTTTTTGAGAGGTATGGTTATTATTCACTCCTTTGTGCAGTGGAGGAACTAGGCACAGAGAGCTGAAGTCACCTGCTTAAGGTCACACAGTAGATAGGGCTCTGGACTTTTGAACTCAGTGCTTCTCTGCTCAGCTGTGAACCCATGTTGTTGTTAAATTCCATCTCACTAAGAATTAAGAGCATAAGAAATGCCATAGTGGGTAAGAATCACAGTCCGTCTGTCCATCCATCCATCCATCCATCCACCCAGCCACCCCCTAGGAAGCGCGCACTGAGCAAGGATCTGCAGAAACCCCACGGTGAACAAACGTGGATGCCATGCCCAGCTTTGGTAGCCTCCTCTGCAAGTCAAGAGCTTCCATCAAGAGCTCACGATCCCCACCATGCCCACTCCTGGCTGCAGCAGGGCTGGCTCCCTTGGAGAGCCAGGTGTGCGGTGATTTTCTGGGATCGTTTCTGGAGATGCAGTCTGGACCCCCCTCCTCCAGCTCTCCCAGAGACTTTATACGTACATGACTTCTTGTATGAAATCATGTTCTCCTTGAAATGAAGAAAGTGATGTCTGCTTTCTGGGCTGTGGCTGATACACTTTCCCAAAGGGCTAAAGGACAGAGGTCAAAGAAGAGATGCCTCAGATGCTAGCAAGTGCAACAGGAGTGGTTCTGGGAGGCAGCTTGAGCTCCGGAGTAGGAGAGAGGGATGCTAGGAGGGAGCATGGGGCAGGTAGGGGCCCCAGGATCCAGGGGAGAGAGCCGAAATTCATAGCACTGGTCAGAGCTGGAATAGGAATCTGGGGCTGGACCAGGTCTAGTGCCTTCCTGGGTATCCCAGTGAGCCCAGAACATCTCAACTAGATGCTGCGTAGAAACTGCATGGAGTGACATAGAAAACACACTCCCCTCCTTTCCCGGCTCACCCCTATGTGCCTCAGGGATGAGGACCATCCTCAGGTTGGGAGAAGAGATGGACAGAGAGCTGCCCAGTCAAGGCCCACCTTCAAAACTAGACACAGATGGACTCTGAATCTAGTCTTGACATTTGTCTTTTTCTCATTGTACATACTTTACCTGCCCCCAAATCCTCTGAGATATGATAAAAACACATGTATTGCATGTCACATGCTTGACAAAATGATGTTTTTTCCCCCACCTAATGGATCATAAACCTCTGTTTTAGTCTGAGCTCTCCAAGAAGCAGAGCCTGAGTCAAGGATTCACATAGAGTTCTGCTAAGCACACTTGGATTTGCCTCATTCATTTTAATGGTCGTACATGTCAGAGCATGTGTCTGGATCATTATTTACTAAATCCCTTTAAGATACACACATAACTCCCCACCTTGGCCCTACTTCCCACTCATTGACATTTAGGATTTTCAGTGAAAGGGTCGATGTTATTGACTCACTGTAGGAGAGTATATATGACAGAGGAAAGTTCATTTTCCAAAGGCAATGGCTGCAGGACAGGGGTCTGGGTCTGGAGAAATGGCAGTGTTGGCCGCACAGAGATAAAGTCTAGAAAATTTATCACTGTCCTTATCATGCCCAAGATTTATGGCTAATGCATGTTTGTGCAAATGTGGCTTAGTCACAATGATGATCATAAAACTGAAATTAGTCACAATGATGATCATAAAACTGAAAAGACCTTATTAATTGGTGGTTTGTTTGCACTTTGCCAACTATAGCAGCCGCTTGCTTCTTGACATTCTTTGGTCTAAATCTCATCATAAATCACCAGTTCTCTGTCTTCTAGAACTAGTCCCTACTGCTGTATTTAAGACTGGTGATTTTTTTTTTAACAACTAGACTATATACGATGAATGATCTGAGTGACTTTATCTGTATTTTGTGGTGGTAGTTTCTCAGGTCATTGAACAAAGGATGGGAATTGACATTACTAAGTTGAGAGCCAGTTTCCAAGGTCTTTCATATATTGGTGGGTGATTTCCGATGCCCATCAGTACCATCAATCAGTACTTCTAGAGCCTCCATGAGATCCATGGTATAGTGGGGAGGAGGTTTCGTAATGGCAGCCAAAACCTGGCATCTGGTCCTGGCCACTCAGGAGTCTGTGGCAAGTCATGTGGCCTTCCTGGATCTCGGGGTAATAATGCTTCCCTGGCTTACTTCTTGTGAGGATCAAAGGACAAGCCCAATTGGGGGGGGGCACTCTTCAAGTATCAGCTACTATAGGAATATATGGGAGGAAGAGTCTGGATTTGGCTAGGCTGCTCTCGCAGATAACCTTAGCTCTTGTCTATATGCCCACCTTACAGGGTCAGCATCCTGAAAGTGAACCCCTTGCTACAGCGAAGTCCCCACCAACAGCACATTCAGCTCCCCAAGCAGCTGTAGCAAACAGAGTGGATTTTACTGAGATCTCATGGGGGAGATGAAGTCGAGAAGATGCTGGCACATTCCCCTAATGATCTTTCCCATCAGAAACATCTGTTCTTCCTTCATAGCTATCTTCGGCCACCAGGAACCTTAGCTGTGTCTCCATCCTTGTCCAACAGAGACTGCCCAGCCTCCATGATTCCAGCCTTTCTTCACTCCTCAAGCTTCCTTTCCGGTCCCTCTGGGGCCCCTCCCTCACCGAGCTTATAATCTTGGATTCCCATACTATCGTCCTACTCCTGTTCAAAATACCTTTCTAAAAGTTCCCCCCACTGCCCTTAGGAAGTGGTGGGGAAATTTTAAATAACAAAGGTTTTGCTGTCACGGACTGTGATTCTTACCCACTATGGCATTTCTTACCATATGCACATGAACCAAGAGGCTTTCACATCCAGGGGAACTCAGAACTCTGAACTGGAAGAGGACTTGGTGTTCATCTAGAACAAATCCCTCGTTTTAGAGAGGCTAAGATGGAAATTTCATTTGGCAGTCCCTGAATCCTAAAAATACAACACAGATTCGATGGTTACTTTAAGGCGTATGTACTTGCCTGGTGGGTATGATTTCCAGGAGCATATACAGACTTAAACTGTTTCATGAGATTCCGAGCTCCGGCGATATCCTGAAGCGAGGCAAAGAGCTTATCTGCAGCAATTTTGGATTTCTGAAATGTCAGCGTCATTGAAGAGTCACAGCCTGAAACAATCCAGAGAGATTTTCTTGGGTGAACACATCTTTAAATTAAGTTTTAATCATGGAGGCTTGAGCTCGAGGTAACACAGTTGGATTTTATTTTTCACCCTATTTTACCCTGGCTGTTCCCCAACTGGATGGTTTTAATCCTCCACGAGTGATGGAACATACCGAGTGTAAATGCCTTTGACAGAAGGAGAACTCGGAATTGTCTGGGATGGCGGCCACTTGCTTCAATCCCCACACTATAGAAGCTTCACAGAATGAAAACTCCCTGGGTCTATTATCCTCAGAACTTAGCTTTGGGGAAAATAGGAAGAGACACCAAGAAAAGTACCAGAGAGTGCTGTGATGAACCCCTCTTGCTTGAATCCCACCAACAGTTCCCAGAAAATACAAGAGCAAGACTGAGAGATGCTAGAGCTGTTCCGGGGACAGACCTTGCTGGGATGGGTGTCTGCCTAACGTGCTCTCAAAGCATATGGTGCCTTTCAAAATGCAGCCATTCAAAGCTGGTAACACACAAAGAGGGCCTAATATGAAGACTATTCCCAGCAATGATTCTATTTTTCTTTGACACTTACAATAGCTGGATTTATTCTCTATCTTGTTAGAAGCCCATTCAGAAGAGAAATGATTATGCATAAGTCAGAAGTTTTAAAAAATCAGAGATCCAAGATGAGGTTTTGGGTGGTCTCAAATACTCAGATACATTAACTCATTCATCTGCATAGCACCCTTATGAGATAGGAGCTATCATTTTCCCCATTTTGGGGATGAAGGAAGCAAGGTACAGAGTGGTTAGGAGACACCCCCGTGAGCAGATGCTGGCAATGCTCTGCCCATATCTGCTCATTCACCCTGGACATCACCGTAGGTTTGGGGAACATTTCTTGTGTACTCTGCTTCTGACCTCAAGTAGCTGCCTGCCTATCTCTCTATTTGCCTCTGTGTTTCTGTCTCTGTCTCTTTTCTTGTCTGTGGGCTTCTTCTGGTTGTAGAAGCATGCTTGGCCTTTGTGTGGGGCAGGCTGGAAGTCCTAGGAAGTCGGCATTCATTGGAACAACTCAGCTTTCTCATTCCCTGGTGAGACAATTCTGAATTGTGGTCTTCAGGGCCTTTGCTCAGCCCCAGAAGGATGGAGCCCCAGTTGCCCACAATGATAACTCACTCATTAACGACCCTCTGTTGGCTTTCCTTCCTTCCCTGTCTCACTTCCCTACTTCTTGACTACACTTCCTAAAATATATTTCCAAATACAGTACTTGCACCCAAACCCCTCTCACTGGACACCAGGACTTCCACAGGCGTTCAAACACACATGACCTGGATCCTTTTTTGGGAGTCTATAATTATTGGGGGGAACAGCTTTGTTGAGCTATAATTCATATACCATACAAATTAAATACCACAAAATTATACAACCCAATAGCTGTTAGTCTATTCACATAGTTGTATGACCATCATGACCACAATTCATTTTAGAATATTTTTTATCACCTCAATAAGAAACTCCATACTTGTGAACTGTCACTTCCCTTTTCCACTCTCCTCCTGGTCCCTAGCGCTACTAATCTGCTTTCTGTCTCTACGGATCTACCATTTCTGGACATTTCATATAAATGTCCCATAGGACATATGATCTTTTGGGACTGACTTCTTTTACTTAACATAATGTTTTCAAGTCTCATCCAAGTTGTAGTATACATCACTGCTTTGTTTCTTTTTATCGCTGACTAATATTCACTATATGGATATACCACATTTTATAGATATGTTCCTCAGTTGAATGCATTTTCACATTTTGGCTCTTCCGACTAAGGCTGCTAAGTTTTATACATTTTTGTGTAGACATACGTTTTGATTTCCCTTGGATATATATCTGGGAGTAGAATTGTTGCCATAGAGTTGGCAACTCTGTCTTTAGCCTTCTGAGGAACTGCCAGGCTGTTTTCCAACGTGACCCCACCATTTGGCACTCTACCAGCAGTGTAAGACGGTTGCGATTTTTCCACATCCTCAATAACACTCATTATTACCCTTCTTGATTGATCCTAGTGGGTGCGAAGTGAGGAGATGTTTGTTGATTTTGACAGGGAGAAATGGCTTTTAGGAAGCAGAGGTAGATCCAAACAAGGTAAAAATAAAATGGAGTGTAAATAACGTATATAGGAACATTCAAAGGCGCCCAACTCAGAGCCAGGTGGCATGTGAGTACTTGAACTTGTACTCTTAATGACTGTGGATCATCATCTGTAATTACTCTTTAAGGGAGGGCAAAATGCTGAACTGTCTTTACCTCCAATGCATCTGACATGAATGTGTGAATGTCCCCATACCAGTCAATTGATTGTCTAATTCTCCACGCACCTCCTGGATGTCCAACAATTCAGTTCACTTCAGACACTAACTACACAGCGTTAGTGCAGACCCCACAGTTTAAGGGTTCAGGTCCATTTCAGATGTCAGTTGCAGGTCCCAGATGGCCAACTGTACTCCCGACAGATTGTCTACCCTCTGAGGGTTCCCGTGACCCCTTCCTCAGGTTTAATACTTTGCTAGAACAGCTCACAGAACTCAGGAAACCACCTACTCTACCAGAAAACTTTACCTACTGTTGCCAGTTCATTGCAAGGGATACAACTCAGGAAAAGCCAAATGGAACAGATGCATAGTGCAATGTTAGGGGCAAGGAGCCCCCTTCAGGCACTCTACCTTGCCAGCACCTTGACGTGTTCACTAACCCAGAAGCTCTTCCGACCCTACTGTTTAAGAGTTTTTATGGCGGTTTCATTCCATAGGCGTGATTGATTAAATTACTGGCCGCTGGTGATTGATCCAATTTCTAGCCCTTCTCCCTTTCCTGGAGGTTGGGGGGATGGGGCTAAAAACTCCAGTTCTCTACATATTCCCTTGTTTTTCTGGCAAACAGCCCCCCACCCTGAAGCTGTTAGGAGCCCCAAGCCCTTAGTCATCCCACTAGCATAGAAGACATTCTTATCACCCTGGAGATCCTCTAATAGTTGTATGCCAGGAACTGGGGATGAAGACCAGTATATATATTTATTTTTGTATCCTAAAAATTCTCTGACCGGTCTTTAACTCCTGGTTTCCAGAAATGTCCAACTTGTGTCATTAAGAAAAAAAAAATCAGTGTGGTCAAGCACAGTGAGAGGAAGCCTCCATGTTCAGTGAACTGTGGTGAGGGGAGGGAGGCATGGAGGGACGTCAGGAGCTCATGTGATCTCCTGAGAACTCTATGTCAAACTTTGTGGAAAGGAGAAAGTGTCACTTTCTGAGGAACATGTCCATAACTGCCTCCTGATTCTTACAGAGGCTCATAACCAAAAAGGGTTAAGATCCAAAGGTACAGGGTATGTGCTGATGCCACACCCTGCTTGCCCTTGGCATCGCAGCCCTAGCTGAGACAGACCAACTAGCGTTTTAGTCAATAAGCAACCAGGAGAAACCCTGGAAGGTTCTGGATTCTCACTCATTCATGTAGCTTCTTCCCCTAACTCTCAGCCTGAGCCATTTAAAATACAGGAAATCATATCAATTGTATCTAAGTGTTGGACATTCTGTACCAGATTTTCAAGTTAAAAAAAAAAAAAGGCAGGAAAAAAAAAAAAGATGGTCGCTTGTTCTAATACCACAAAAATGTTTCAATTTCTCTAAAACACAATTCAGCTAATAGGCTAATTTTTTTTTTTTTCTGAGAGAGAGAGAGCACGTAAGCAGTGTGGAGGAGTTGGAGAAGAGGGAGAGAGGAAATATTTTTTTTTTTCCTTAAAGACTTATTTGAGAGAGAGAGAGAGAGAGAGCTTGAGCAGGAGGAGGGACAAAGGGAGAGGAAGAGAGAGACTCTCAGGCAGACTCCCTGCTGAGCATGGACCGGGAGGTGGGGCTTGCTCTCAGGACCCTGCCCGGAAATCTGCCTACCTGTCACAGCCACCCAGGTGCCCCTTGGCTAAATTTTTTATTTAAAGTAATTCGTTTTCTTTCTCTTTCTTTCTTTCTTTCTTTCTTTCTTTCTTTCTTTCTTTCTTTCTTTCTTTTTTTTAAGATTTTATTTATTTATTTGACAGAGACAGATCACAAGTAGGCAGAGAAGTAGGCAGAGAGAGAGGAGGAAGCAGGCTCCCTGCCAAGCAGAGAGCCCGATGCGGGACTCGATCCCAGGACCCTGAGATCATGACCCGAGCTGAAGGCAGAGGCTTTAACCCACTGAGCCACCCAGGCACCCCAAAGTAATTCATTTTCTATCTAATGGAAAGATTCATCCAATCTTTCATGTGGTCTATTTCAATTTTTTGGAGAGTAACATGATGTTCATCTAGTAGTCTGAGTGGAATAGAATTGTCTACTGGATTATAGATTACTGAAAATTATGGATAATTCGTGGAAGTTGGGGACTGTATATTGAAATTAATGTGTAATTTAAGAGAGTTAGATCCACTGTGGAACAGATTGTATGACAGGAACATTTACAGATTACTGGTAAATTAAACTCCAAGGAACCCAACAGAAAAATAAGGCTATCACATTCTTGGAAGGAAAATAAAAAGTCCTCAATGTACAAATAAAGTAAAGCTTCCCTGAAAAATAGTCAATTCTCCTCGTTGTCCAAATAAACTGCACATGAGCAGCTTCCAAAGCATCAACTCTTCCCAATGTGTCTGGTGTCCTCAAAGCCAAGTGTTCCACAATGTACATGTTTCTGCGACACCAGGCTGGTCTCTGAGCCTCATTCGTATTTCTATCAATCCTCACCCAAAGCAGAATTTATACTCACTTACCCAAAACCTATAATGAAAGTTTCACACATACACACACACACACACACACACACACACACACACACACTTTAGAAATGTGAATCAGAGAAGATAAATGACTTGTGCAAGATCACATCACCATTGCGGGCCAAGTCAGGGTTCCAAATGTCCCGATGATCACAGACCTGAGCTCCTCCATGTCCACTGCCGCCCGCCATCCCAAGT